AGTAGATAGTGGCAGCATCAATAGCGTGTGCGAGTTCGCTTGCCTCTTAGTTACCTTCCAAGAATCGTGTAGCCCGAGAGCCAGCAACCATAGAACAATTTCGGACCACGTTTACTCCAGTGGATAATTCCTCTAGGTTCCTCAGAAATAACGTACACTGCACACCGGCCATCAAGCGTGCCGCACATTCGGGGAATGGGCCCAAAACGAGATGGCCAATGATCATAGTTTTCACAAGAAAATTTACGTTAATATCCAAAATTGCCGCATTGGGAATGCTGATAAACCACAAGCCATTGCTGAGACGCCGTTACATCCTCAAAAAGTCATTGTTTGATATTTTGCAGGCAGAGCGAATCATCGGTCCATAATGTTGACAGTACATGCCATGAAGACAACGAGGGAATCAATTTATTGAAGAAAAATTTGGTGCGCACATTATTCGGCGTGTTATTGCTTACTTGCGATGCCCCGTCGAAACTTAGGCTACTCGGGCTGGCCCGCGGTGATCACTTGCCCAAATTTAAATTTTTTAAAACAAAATGGTACATTTTTGATCATATCATTTAATTATATACATTTTATGTCCACTTGAAAACCACTTGCCTAACAAAACACCCTTAATTATTAATTTTGAAAATAAACGGTTTTGAGCCGGAAGAGTAGGCAGCTGCCAAAACTGGCTTTCATTCTTCATTTATGGAAATATGTATATATTTTTATCTTAACAATCAAAATTTTTTGAAAATAATTTGAAATGTGAAAAACCTTTTGAAAATATCTCACCATGACTCAGGTACAGAAAAGTTTGTATTGCTGAGTTTCTTAAATAAAATAAATCCATCATTTTTACTGACAGACAATCTCGCTGATAGGCAGGCCTGCAGATGAGCATAGCAAGTGGCGAGCTGACATGCTCACTCATTTGGAAAACAACACTTGTTTCTACAAAAATGTACAACCAAACACTTTTCTTCGCATATCTTTTATATTTTTTCCGAGCTTTTGCAATATTTTAATTTTTTTTTGGTCCGTCGAAAGTCTCATTTTTAACATTACCACTCATCTTTCGGTCATATTGCCTCTATTGCTTTGTCTCAATTCTTTCGCCTTAAATAATCCCGCTCTCTTAGCTGGTTCTTTATCTGTTCGTCGCTCTTCAATGTCCATCTGTCTGCACCGCGTGTCTGTTTCTTGTACTGCTGTTGGCCTTCTTTCCTGACGCCACCTCTTAGATAGCCTGCGTTGAGGTGCTCAGCGGCATTTTCTTTTGTTTTAGCATAGTTTTTCATGTTAAATGAAAGAAAAAGCGCCAAAAGAAAACATTTTAACCATTCATGAAATGCTATTTATAATCGGATTATTACCAACAAAGTTTGTTTTTTTTGTTTGTTTGTTTGTTTGTTTCTAAAGCTAAGTAGTGTAAAGCTTTCCCATTTGCTTGTTTCGAATATTATTCGTTGTAAATATCATAAATAGTTTTTGCTGACATTTCTTAAATATACAAGCATCGTACATAGATATTACATAGAGCCCAGCAGAAGGTTAAGGGCAGAAGATGGACGCCGGCGAAAAGTTGACTTGCACTTTCGCAACTTGGAACAAATTGGGAACAAGTTAGAAAAGAGAGCTTTCTTCAGTCATGCTGAAGTATTTATGCCTTTCATGACCAAATCAAATGTATGGTATTTTTTTTTTCGGACGAATTATGATCCAAAAAATCTCAAATCGGTCGCTCCGATAAATGTGCATACCATGTTTGGACGAAATATCTCAAAAACTTAGGGATATGGCTAAATCAACTCAACTGGAAAAACTTACTCGATTTGCATAAATTTTAAAAGATCTTCCCTGCTCGTTATGGCAAATCATTCTAACTATTGTTCGTCGGAGAAAGTAGACGCTTTTCCCATCACGCTTTTCAGTTTCGAAGACAATCTCTAAAATATGAGCCCTATCTGCACGCGATCCGATCATTCATTGAACCATTCTTCGATTAGTTCGAAATACCCGAATCGGTGACCCCTTTCCAGTAGTCGGAAGAAGGAAGGTCTAAAGAGTACGGCGGGCGGGGTAAGATCTCCCGTTTTAACGTTTCCAGGTAATTTTTGTCCATTACAGCCACGTGGGATCGACTATTGTCATATTGCAAAATCATTTTTTCACGCTTTCGGTGGTTTCTGGCCATTTTTCACGCAATGCACGACTCAAGCGCATTAGTTGTGGTCGATAAGGTTTCGCTTTAATAGTTTTGCCTGTTTTTAGCAACTCATAGTACACCAAACCCGTCTGGTCTCATCTCTTGTGGAGCATGATCTTTGTCGTGGTTGGTTTTTTTTGGCGCCGATGTAGACGATAGTGGAAAGAGGTTTACCATTCTTGGCTTATTTGCCTTTTATGAAGCAGCTTCGAGGTGAAAAATCGCTTTCGACATGATCGGATTTCTCTCGCAAGGACTGCACCGCTTCTGTTGTTGTAACAGTAAAATATTCCCCGAAATGTGTGGCCGTATAAAAATCCGCGTCGTTCCGGTTTAAAGACCCGACTGTCGCTGGAACTATTGGATTTTAGTCGTTCCTTACGACAGGCATGCCTTGCTTTAACTGCATGAGCTTTATTGTGTGCTGTTAGCAACCAATCTCCTCTTTTATTTTTTTAAGCATTTCTTATGCAGCCTTGTTGAAAATGTCCTTAAAAGCCCCTCCGATGTCCAATTACATCATCTAGCGTTGTATCGGCGGACTTTCCTTTGAGTGAGCCTGCTATTACATTGGAAGTCGGTTTGGTGAGGTTTACGAGCCGGAAGTACTTTTTTTAAAATCGGTAAACCTTTACTCCATACATGGGAGAATGTGCCCTTAGCACAGAGAGATTTCGCGGATTTTGCAAAGCAAGGCTTTCCAGCACTTTGCTGCAAGACGTCGTTCTTTTTTACCATCTCGTTTCTTCATATAATTTGGGTTAGCAAAGTCATTTTTTCTTAGCCTGTTGCCTACTGATTTATCCCTTTATATTAGAGAGAGAGTCCCCATGTCGCCCAAAACGGCTGGATATTTGCTGAGCACGTTTTGTCTCAACCATGGTTAAGTGTGAGTATACTGAGCCCTAAATGCGGCAGTGTCCCCTATTAACGTAGGCGCCGGAACGAAAATGCACTTCGGTGGAAAAAATATTCATCTTCATCCAAACGATTTTCTTCATAAGTCTGGTTTTGCATCTCGTTTACTCAAACGGATAAAGCGCCTACTACTGAAGACGCTATTGCTGCAACTGAGCAGTGTCGAAGAAGATCCAAATGATTCCATCTGCTAACGCGTGCCACAATTGTAGTGAGTTTCATCCACTTGTGCGGGCTTACAAAATCCAATTCTTGCAAGAATTAAGTCCGATTGATCCATCAAGGGTAACGCATGTTCGGTAAATGGCTCAAAGCGACGATGTCAATCGATTCACAAGAAAATTTTCTTCAGCGATGAAGCGAAACTTCTCGAATCGTGGGCTTCTAGCGTGATCTCCAAGATCGAGCGACTTTTTTTTGAGGTTATGTGAAGTCTACGTAGTTTAGCCTGAGAGGATTGACTCCTTGAAAGAGAATATTAAGAGTGTTATTGCGGACAAAAAGTGGTACGTTTTATTTCCACTTGAAAACCATATGTCCAACATAAAACCGCCCTAAATATGTCTCACCCATTATATATGGCTACTGTGTCTACTTATTCGGATGCGTGTCTTTGATATAAACTTAAACTTACTCAATTTCACAAAAAAAAAAAAATGAATAGAAAGCTCCTCTTAAAAAACCATAAGCCCATTAGAGGCGGCGTAGTATGAAATTGTAGGTCCCTCCATTTGTTGGAAACAATTCAAGACGCATACCCCGAATCGGAGGAGGAGCTCGGCCGAAAATCGCTAGCAGTGATTACCAAACGCCAATTATATATAAATAAATAGATGTGTAATTACACATAAATATACATATAATGAAAATATCTATTTATAATATAAACTTTATGCTACCGCAAACAATCTGGTCACCTTAAAGCAACACTCAAGCATTTCGGCCAACTAAAAGCAATTTTCAATAATCCCAAGCAAGTGCAAAAAGCTCTGCTAGCCATTCAGTTTTCAAAAAGTTTTCGCGCACATTAGCAACGTTAGCAGCGATCAATTGCATATCCATCATACCTGGGCGACATTTGGATGGATAAGCAAAATTGAAAATTGAAATTTCTCTTAAAAAAAAAACCAAAAAAATGTTGAATATTAATAAAAAGTATTCAACAACTAGTAATGCAGAAAATTTATTAAAAAAAATGCCTAATTAATTTTAAAAAATAAAACACCAAAGCATGGGCTAGAAAATGTGTGCCATTGGTATAGTAATTACAAAGGTTGCCCATAACAAGAAGAAGAAAAAGTACAGAAGAAGAAAAATCTATAATGATTGAAATCCATAATTGTCGATGTGCGAAAGTTGTGAAAATTTCAAATTTCTGTTGAAAGTGAATTTAAGTGTTAAAAAAATGTAGAAAAAATATTTTTTTATCAAAAAAAAATATATATATGTATTTATATATTCAGCGGGTACTTATTATATAATGAAACATATATACATATACAAATATATAAAAAAAAATTATCAAAAATTAGTTGCTAAGTGAAAATAAAAATAATACATAAAATAAATAAATATAAATAAAATTTGCTGCTGAAAATATAAATAAGAAATATGAGTAAAGAAAGAGTGCATTTTGAAAAATAAGAAATTAATGAAAAAATAAATTAATACAATACATCAAAAAAAAAAAAAAAAAAAAAAAAAGATTGAGTGATCAGCAGCTAAATATTTTCTTAAACCATTTTTGCGCTGAATAAGTTGAAAAAAATCTAAAGAGGCTGCGTAATGCTTTCTAAAAAAAATTAATTTTTTTGAAAATTTGCGCTTGAGAAGTATAATTAAATTTCTAACGAAAAATATAACAAAAATTCGCAAATACTGTCCTTTTTTCGAAAACAACAACTTTTCCCTTTACAAAAAAAAATGCAGACAGAATACAAAAATTGCTGCAATGCAACAACCATAGAATAGAAAAGGAAATAAATAAAAATAAATGAATAAAGTAAAATTAATATTCGAACGACATACATAAATCACTCCCCGCGACGTCTCGAGAAACTGCGTGAAAGCATGTTATGGCCGTAACCAAAACAAGGAACCTTGTCATATTCGTCCACAAAGGCATACCACACGAAGGGGGCTACAGCAGCTGGTTTACGAACACATCCGTCCGTGTCCCTTTCGCCATCATGCCTACAGCGGCTCAAGGGCTCAGCGTACGAGCGGCGAGCGGCGAGCGCGACGTGTCGGCGAGATGTCGCTGTTGACCGCGAAATATTAATTTCACATTGATTGTTTTGCAAATATGTTTTAATATAAAAATAAATTTCATGACAAAATGCGGGTAAAGTGTGTAAATTAATACATATGTACATACGAGTACATATATATGTATATATTGTATATGCAATGAGAGATACTTAATATTTGTATGCGCGAAATAAAAATGAAAAGCTATGAAAAATAAAAAGCAAGCGTTAAAAGCTTAGCAAAACTCTTCGAAACAAAAAATAAAAACAACAAAAAACGATATATTTATGCATATATATATATATAATAAGTATTGACTAAAATGCAAATCATAGAAAATTCGAAAAGAAAAGGAATTAATATACCATAAACAAAACAACAAAAAACATTTCTTCTTCACCTCGTACGTGCTGCTGTCGTCATATTGTCGCCGCGTCAAAACAAACAAAAAAAAATAAAAAAAAAAAAAATAAAAAAAAATTAAAAAAATAAAAATATTAAAGGCCTGTGCGCCTGTTACCAGCCACATTTAGCAGCAGCAAGACTTTCTTTTATCTCTCGTCTCTCTCACATACACATACAGTCCTACAAAGAACGCTTTCTTCGCTTTAATCTTACCTTCTTCGCAAACACTTTGGTTGTTCCTGCATTTCTTTCGCATAAACAATCGTCGTTACCAATACTGTTGTGTGTGTGTGTGTGTTGGTACGTGTGTGTTTGTGTGTGCGCTTGGTGTTTTGTTGGTGAGACAACGCATGCGCTGCGGCGCATCATCACCAACTCCATTCTCACCACATGTTCGACTCGGATGTCGACGATGAATATATCCGCGAGTATGCTTTTGAGCCAGAATTGCTAATCAATCGCGATGATTATCTTAAGCGGGAAGAACAAAAGGAAAAGGAGCAACGGGAGGCGATTAAGCGACGCTCCTCGTTGCGGCGCAAATCTCAGCGCAAAGCTAGCGTGGATAGTTATGATGCGGGTGGACAGCAGAAGAATCAGATTGATGTTGAAATCGAGGCGTTCTATTATGTGAGTGTTAATGTAGCTAAAAGTGCAAGTTAACTAGAATTTCTGCTTTTACCTCATCGATTTTAAATTGAAAAAATTCCAAACACAACGAAAAACTAGAAAGCAGAAGTCTTTATACCTGGACCATATCAAATTTAAATAGAGGCTTCTCATAAAAGAGCATAAGCCGTTCGGAGGTGGCTTAGTATAACATAAACTATAGGTCTCTTCATTTGCGGTTACAAAACGTCAAATATACATACTGGTGTATCAAATACGATTTAAATTGAAGCTCCTTTCTCCTACTCCTTTCTTCTTTTCGCTGTTTTGCGCCAACTGAAAATACCAAGTGAAACCAGATCTCACTCCAACTGCTCCCTTGAACGGAGTGTAGTTCTTCATCTTCCCCTGCCTTCAGCAGCGGGTACTGCATCGAAAACTTTGAGAGCTGGTGTATTCTTATCCATCCGGTCCACATGACCTACCAAACGTAGCCTCTGACTCTTGATGCGCTGATTTATGTCACTGTAATTGTCACTGTATATCTTGTACAGATCATCATTCCATCAGTTGCAATATTCGCCAATCCCAACACGCAGAGCACCATAAATCTTAAGCAAAACCTTTCTCTCGAAAACTCTTAATGCCGACTCATTAAATCTTCTCATCGTCCATGCCTCCGCAGTATATAGCAAAACGATAATGATGAGCGACTCGTCTTTGTACGTCGAAAGAGGACGTTTCTTCCCATTAACTACTCAGTCCAAAGTATTACCTGCTGGCAAGAGCAACTCTGTGCGTTTCCAAGATAGTTGCCACAATGACGACTGCTTGTTTGATGGAGGAGACAGGGGATATTTCGTCCTACCCTTTGTCCTTTAGCAGACTTAATAGCTTCGTTTCCTCCTCCAATCTGGACGGTGTTGCTTAACGTTAGTTTAGCCCTATTAGCTTTTCAGGCCTGCCAAAATTAGACACAGCGTCGGAGAGGCTGCTCCTTTTCGTGCTTTTGTAGGTTTCTTTAAAATCGACGAAGAGGTGGGTCGGTCCTTTTCCAAGATTTGATGCACGGTAAATATCTATCTGGCCAATGGTGGATATCCCAGGTCTAAAGCGACGCTAATAAGGTCCAGCTACTTAGTTGACGAACGGCTTTAGTCTATCTTACAATACGGTTGATGAGACCTTATATGCAATATATTAGAAGATCCCACGAAAATTGACGCAGACCATGGGATTGTATGTTGAATATCAAATTTTATGGTCTTAGACTTGGCTTTTTCTATTGTATTCTCACCTCATTTCTGTTTTCACTCCCTCACAAAAATCCACAGAGATGCCGGGAGAAGCAACCGCGGAGTGCTTATGGAACTAGGCTCGAAGACGAGTCATCAGAGACTTGTGAAATGTTTTATGTCCATCCCAGTGGCTTTCCGGTTCAAACCAGAAACTAATTTCCCACTCTCGGCTTCTGTTCGGCTAAATATTTATGTATATTCCCAATTGGCATGAGCACAACCGTGTAGATTACCCGATGAAGCCTAGGCAGCACATTCAGTGCCCATTGGCAATATGAAAGGACATATGGATCGTTTAGCCATAATTCGAGAGTTATTTGTAGAAGATTTCTACTAACACAAGTGCATATTACAATTTCTATTGGCGCTTTGTAATCACTACAGCACCTTTTGACTGTTTTTGTTTTCGAGGCATTTAGGAAGATTTGGTTAGTGTTGCGGGGTGCCATTGCATGCTGGGCAACTCGGCTACGAGAGACTTAAGTTTACTACAACATCCAGAAATTAGTTACGCCAGATTTACTCAGATCTTATGAGGCCACCCGAGGTTCTCGTCGCCATCGGACTCCAATGACGCCATGGTAAGGGATCTGAGAAGGGATCTGGCATTCACGGCCTGTCAATAAAACGTTCAGCTGTTGAGAGATGATATACCTTTACTTTCTTCGTGATGTACACGGGGTAGATCTGCTTAGAATTATGTATAGCCATGTGGATACCGGAACCGGTCCATTGAGTTGGTCTTTTCAACAGGTGCTACCTGCTAGGGACTTGAGGGCTTTGTAATCACTTTGTCTTCTCGCAGGGAGGAAGTGTTTTGTTCTAGAGCGAAAGTCACTTTGTTATCTCTGTATGTTCGCTCATCTAAGCTAATTCTTACCCTCAAATATATCTAAATTCGAGTTATTTCATTCACGAGTGGAGTGGGAAATGTAAATGTAAATGTAATTCTTGCGTCCATAACTTTTGTTTACATTTGAGGGCAATAAAACATACATATATACAAACAAACACCGAATGATCGAGTTTTATAAAAGTCAAAGCCATAAAAATATTTCAAATGAAATTACATAAAGACGCACATGAAAATGCATAATTATACTTTTAAGTGGCTAATAACGTCAGCGATGAGCTTTAAGCGATAAATTTCCAATTAACACATTTGTCGTCTGTTTATATTTACTGATCTAAATTTATTAATGTTTACATATTTACACTTTTGTATGCAAATTTGAACTGACTCAAGTGTGCCGGCGTTTTCGAAAATAAAAAAAAAAACCTAAAAAACATTCGACTTCTTCTTCTTTGGCAAATGCACCGCTTAGGCGGTTAAAGCCTGATGTACTAATCAGCAGGAGGGGGCTATTCGTTCCTTCTCTTCGCTGTTTGGCACCAAAATGGAAATACCAAATGAAACCAGGTCGCTCTCCACCTGATACTTCCAACGGAGTGGAGTCTTCCTCTTCCTCTGCTTCCACCAGCGGGTACTGCATCGAATACTTTCAAGGCTGGAGTGCTTTCATCCATTCGAACGACCTGGTCTAACCAATGTAACCATTATTAATCGTTTGCAAAATTTTTCTCTCGAATACATCCAAGATCGACTAGTCCGTTGTAGACACAACTTATGCTCTATATAAAAAAACGGAACTAACCTCTCGGTTGCTAAGGCCTTTGATATCAATCCTGTATACTCTTATAAGAGATTGCGCCTTGTCTGTTTAGCTCTACCGCATTTATTATTTTGAATAAGTCATGCGATAGAGATTCATCCTTGCGTGTGTTTCCACCAAATTGGCGGTAAGCTTTAATATTTCACTCATTACACTCGATAAAACCCACTCCCAATCGTCGGTCATGATTTGTCCAACCATATTCTGTGAAGAAGCTGATCCATACATCTTGTCAGATCTTCAACGCGATGTTTGAATAGCTCTGCCAATAAATCATCAGCTCCAGCTGCTTTTTTGTGCGTTAAATGGACAACAGCTTTTGAGCCGTCATCGTCGATTAGGATATGAACTTTCATTGACTGAAGAAGTGTTTCCTCCAACTCTGGACATCATTCACCGCGTGGATTTTAATCTTTTCTAATGGTTGTTACATTTGAAGATGGGAGAAATTCTTATATGGGATATACGAGAAGAGTAGTGACTTTCGCCGTTCTGAGCGCGTGAAAACGGAAAAATTTCAAGCTTATTTTTGTGTTCGACACAGTGGAGTTCTCATCATTTTTTTAGTTGCTTTATAAATGTTGGGATATTGCCTATACCAGCTCCAGCTACCTCAGCGAGTCAATCAAAGACGTGTTTTCTACGAAACTTATGTAGTGACACTGGGCTCACACTGGTAGTGTCTTTCATAAGATTTTCTTGACTTAGCAATATTGCGTAGAACTTTTTGCAAGCACTAGTGGTAGACTACTCACCATATGAGAGTCCCACCACACATGATAGTGCGCCTTCATTGTACGAAGATCCTGGTGACACTTTTCAACTTTTCACCCTGCTGATCACTAGAATCACAAGTGCAGGAAGTGGATTTTGAAACCCAAGATTATCAGACTTATGCTTGCCTAGGAAACTTCAAATGAATTCCAACCTCTTGCCTCGGCATCAGTCATTGATTTGACAAAACGAGCATTTTTCATGAGTTTCAAAACTTCTATGAGTTGCCTAATCTGTGGCTCTTCAAAATTGCACGCTTTCATGTTTTTTTCTACTTATAGTCTGAATCAGAGTCTTCACTTGATGTATTCTAGTTGGGTTCACTGGTAATTGGATCATCGGAAGACTGCGGGTCTTCGGCAGTAAATAAGTTGGGGTATGATCACATATTTCGAGTTCCATGGATTAATATTGCTAATTTTCACGAAGAAGCTGTATCAATCGTTCTACATACTTTTCATTCCCATTTTCACACATTTGGGGAAGTCACTGTCGCGGCTGCAAAAGTACGCTTCAATTGAATATATCGTCTTGTTGAACCAAAATTCGTCCACATCAGTATCCCGCAATTCCGTTTAATTTTATTAGCCCGCAAACCAAGATTTTTCGCGAAATTTTCCGATTGCTGCGTGATATGGCGAATGAACTCATGCGGATATTCTTCGTTACTCTGCTCCACAGTAGCGATAGCATCTTCTTTGCACACTGTACGGTGTCTAGAATAAACGTGGCCCGAAACCCATTCATGATTACTCGAATGGCTGACTCTGCAGGACGCTTAAGTTGTCTGAGGCACATCGAGCTACTTTGTAGTGTAAACATTAAGCGTAAGCATCCAATTTCCCATTATGTTCCAAATACATTTTTTCCTCTGCACCGCATATTGCTCTCAATTTTTGAAACAGTCTTGTCTCGTTTCCAACTTGTGAGTTGCCAAAATGTGTTATTGTTTATGATGTGCCATTAAATTGCGCATCAATTACACTCGCGCATAGGCAATGCCCTAAATACGTAGTCATTCTATGAATTTCTAACACCGTCGCCTATTCATTTGTAAATTGCTTAAATTAAATTTTTTTTGAATTTTTCATTAATTCTCCTATTAAGCTCATTTTTTATAGTAAAAATATTAAAAAATTTTATAGCAAAAATATTAATGCCATTAATATTTATGGCGAAAAGATTTGCACTTTCGCCCTTCTTCATCTGTTGATCAAAATTTAAACTTTTATTTTGTTGCTTTTGGAAAATTTCTGTTGTCAAGCTTTTTAAATAAAATAAATAGAATTTTTATTTCAATTAATTGCGTTAATTGCGAACATATGTGCGTATATATATGTACATTATATATGCATTTATTAAGTTACTAATTTAAGCAAATAAATATTTTAATTTGTAAGTATGTACATATGTATAATTTTTATTTTTATTTCACTTTTACTTTTTTCTCTGCACTCAGATTTTAATTTTTTTTTTTCAGTATACTTAAATTTTTGTTTTGTTTCTCATACTTGTTATTGACACAAAATAAACCCCACGAATTGCCAATATTTTACGTATGTATCTTTATGTATAAATAGACTTTTCGTCTAGCAGCAAGTCTGGCTAGTAGTAAATAAAATTATGAAAATAAAATAAGAAAATGTTTAAAGAGACAAAAATAAAAGAGGAGCGAGAGAATTTGCACTTGAGCAGTCTTGTCTCTTTGTTGGCAAATAAATGCAAACGTAACCTTCAGAAAAATTCAAAATCTGCGAAGAACATTCACTGAGACATGGCTAGACCATGTGAGGTCACATTTCTAGATACATACGTGTATTTTTAAGCCAAAAGAAATTGAAGCAGAAAATAAATAAAATTAAATAATATAAAATGAAACAAAATAGTACTAAAGTAAATAAAAAAATAAAATGTATTAAATTAAGTTAAGTAAAATAAAAACTAAATAATATCAGCTTAAATTAATAAACAAAAAAAAAGCAAAAATTAAATAATCAAAAATAGAAAAAATTAAACGAAATGAAATGAAATAAAATTAATTATAAAAAAAATGCATATATTTTATGTTTAAAAAAAAATAATATCATAAAAACAAATACAATTAATTTGAATTAAAAAAAAAATGAAATAAAAAGAAGAATAAACAAAAAAAAAAAAATAATAAAAAGGAACAACAATATAGTAAAAATAAAATAAAGAAAAATAAAATCGTTAAGTTAAATAAAATTAAATTAAATTAAATAAAACTAAATCAAAATATGTAAACTTAAATATAATTAAATTAAATTAAATAAAAGAAATTAAATTAACTTGAAAGAAATAAATTAAAAAGAAAAAATAAACAAAAAACTTATTACTTTAAAATAAAATAAAAAAATAAAATACAATAAAGTAAAATAAAATAAAATTTCTTCAAAACTAAATTTCTTCCAAAAACTTCTAACGTCCATTACTGTTGTAAATTTTTCACATATTCCATATTACCAAAAATATATGGTCTTAGACAGTTTCATAAAACTAAAACCCAAAAGCAATTCTACAGTATAATGATCTGAAAAAATTTCCAGGAATTACAGAAGAACCTTGTCGTGCGAATGAAATTTTCCAATAACAAAAAAAAAAAAAAAAATTATGACGAAACCTTTACCGTCCAAAACTGTTGCTGTAATTTTTTCACTATTTCAAAAATATATGGTCTGACACAATTCCATAAAAAACCCCAAAAAACAACTCAACAAAATAATGACCTTAAAAAGTAATTAAATTAATAAAAATAAAATTGATTTACATAAAATGTGAAAAATGTAATTAATAAAAATTAAAATAAAAATTAAGAAATAAATTAAAATTAAATTAAATAAAAAGAAATGACAGAAAAGAAAATAAAATAAATTAATGTAAAATAAAAAAATAACTTAAAAAACCAACTGCCATAAGAATTAAATAGTAAATAATAACAAAGAGAACAAAATAAAACATAAAAACAAAACTTAAATATGATAACAAACAAAAGTAAATAATAAATATAAAAAATATGGTAAAGTAAAATAAAACAAAATAATATAAAATAAAATAAAAGATAATAAATGAAATAAAATAAAATAAAATGAAGTAAAATGAAATAAAATCTACAAAATAAATTGAAATAAAGTCTAATAAAATATAAAAAAAATATAAAGAATGAAAATAAAAATAAATAAAGAAAATGCAATTATTAGAATATAATGTAATATAATATAATATAATATAATATAATATAATACACAATTGCCACTTTGTAATTGTTAAACAAATAAAATAAAATAAAACGAAGAATAACAAATAATATAAAATGAAATAAAATCATTTCAAATAAAATAAAATAAAATTATAAAATTTGATCTTCTTGCCATTTATATTTTGAGAATCGTTAACTGGATTCTGCTGATACTTCTCAAACACAAAAGATATTGGAGCTATTACATTCATTTTTCATAGCATAGTTTATAGGTTTGCCATAGCAAATGACTTATCTACTATGTGAAATACATTTTAATGAAAAAAAAAATAGATTTCGTAACTTACTTATTGTAAAATGAACTATGAATTGTTAATTATAATTTTTAATATAATTTTTAATAGCAACATTTTTTGTTTTCCAATCTACTATTTTCACACAGATGTATGGCCGTTATACCAAAGATTTAGGAGAATTTGCCAAAGATGAAGCCAGAAAACTCAAATTACTCGAAAAACGCAGAAAGCAAGAAGACAGACAGAGAAACAAGGTAAACAAGCAAAATAATCTTGACAATATATATATAAACACATACGTATACATGTAAAAATTTATCTTATTATTAATTACACTTGCGGAACCAATTTGCATACAATATAATATTAACATGCTTAATTTATCGTAAATAAATGAGCATAAAATGCATGAAATATACATATTTGTTAAAGGTAAAGTATTGCATAAATATTGAAATTTTAAATGAAAGTACGCCAAGACTAAATATAAAATGTAGTAAATTTTTTTTTGTAGTTTTAAAGTATTTTTCCTGAAATTAGCATACAAAGTATATGCAATTTTTCATATTTATTTAGTTTCAATCAAATAAATAAATATTGGAGTAAACAAAAGTTAATTTAATATGTTGAAATTTATGGTATCATGAAATATATAAATAAATTATTATTTTATATTATAAACGATTATTTGTTTAAATATTGTAGTTTTTCCTCAGACACTTTCAGAACAACCAAACTCACATTAAGCTTATCTGCACATTAAAATTACTCCACACACATATATAAACTTTAACTCTTATATTATGTTGCCTAGATATAGGCGCTAGGTATTAGTTAGTACTATATAGCTCTTTAATCCTTGTATGGTCTTTGGGTTGATTTTATGTTTTTTATTATTATTTTTTATTTACCCAAATTTGAACGAATCGTTTATAAAGCAGTAGTGGTGGGAAATATTTACAGGAATTACTGGGCAAACGTTCATCGCGTATGCTAAAAGTCTCATCATGGATATGGAAACGTACGTTTGCACGCCTCGGCGAGGATTGGGTGTTCTTAGCATTGTTAGGCGTTATAATGGCGTTTGTATCATATGTGGTGGACAAAGGCATCAATGTTTGTACAAATGGTAAGTAAGTTATAAGATATTTTTTATATACTTTTTACGAGTTTAGGGTCTGAACCTTATTTTCTTAGTCTAGGAATGGCATTTTCTGTTGCACTGATTGCGCGTAGGAAAAGATAACGCCGTGTTAGTTTGTCGTTTTCATTTTTATTGAGTTTGTCACAATAATTCAATGGAAATTCTTGCATATGATTTTTTTCCTGGCTCAAGAGAATATCTCTAGTAAGTGCAAGCAGGTTACGTATACGCCGTAGTTATTATGAAAAGTGTTTGAAAAACACATCTAAATTTCCCATAACTTTTTTTGCTTTAAAATTAATTATTAATTATTTATTATTATATATAATTACATTTAAAAATGTCATACTATATTATTTATATATATTTTTTTTAATTTTTAGCGCTTAAACTCCAACTCAAAACAAATCGAAATTTTGTTAAAAAAATATTTATTGTATTAGTACTCGTATTCAGGATATGAGAATTTGCTTTTTTTAATATATTAATCATCTCTCACTATGTTTGGTATTCAGTTTTATTGTTTTATTTAATTTTTTTCACAGCACGTGTTTGGCTGTACCGCGATCTCACATCACAGCCGATCACACAGTATTTAGCGTGGGTCTCATTACCGGTCTGTTTAATACTTTTCTCAGCTGGTTTTGTACATCTGGTGGCGCCACAAAGTATAGGTGAGTTGGTTGAATGATGTAATGACAAGAAAGTTAACAAAAAATTATGTGAATTTAAGCATGCTTACACACTAACAAATTGAATTTTGTATAATACATTTAATTTAGTTTAATTTAATTTCATTAAACTTAAGTTTGGTTTTGTATTATTTTGTTTGATTTTATTTCATTTGATTTATTTTATTTTAATTTTATTTTGGGTAAAGCCTTGTATGCTTTTTCATTTTATATTATTTGTTTAATTCAATTGGCTTTATTTTGATTTATTCTACTCAATATAATTCTCTTTTATTTAATTTAATTTCATTTTACTTTCATTTTGTGTTATTTATTTATTGTATTTTATTTCATTTAATTTTGCATTTCAATTTATTATTTAGTTCGTTTATTTTATTTGTCTTATTTTATTTATTTAAATTTTCAGTTTCTTTAATTTTAGTTTATTCAATAAAATATTTAATTATTTATCTTATAGTCTAGATAGTGAATTATGTGCTTAACCTATTTTAAAGTATTTAATTTAATTTTATTTACTCAACTATTTATTTTATTAATTTTGCCTACTTTATGTCTTCTAAGCAATTTAATTTCCTTTTATTTTGCTCTATTTATTTTATTTTATTTTTATTTCAAATTAATTTGTAATTTTCATTTAATTCATGGTATTTCATTTCATATTTTTTGTCTAATTGTTGTATTGTATATATATTTATTTTACTTTTTGTTTAGTAAAGTAAAGTAGTATTCAGTTTTACCCTGGAATACTTAAGTATATATAGGTACATATGCATAACACTGTGGCATACTTATGTATAAATGTGGAAAAAAACTATAGAGCACACATCATCTGTTATTGTTTGTTTTAACACAATCGCTTATTTACCTTGTGGCTTCCATTGTTGATTAGTATCATTGAAGTAAAGTAAATATTCCATAATTCATACTTAAATGCCTGTAGACTAAGTATTCGCTGGTAAATATTGACATATACTTACTTCCGCGCTTTCACACCTAATAAAATATAATTTTACATTTCAATTAGTTTGTTAGATTTTCGTACTTACTTACTTTACTTCAATGGTGTAACTAAAGGAAAATAATAATAAACAAAAAAAAAATTTTTTTGTGATTTTAAGGGCAACATTTTTTCTATCTTAATAAGAGGCAAAATTGGTATTAAAAGTGAGGTTCAATAAGTCAACTGGATGAAATCAAAATGAAAGGAAATCGGAAGTTTTTCACCATCTACCATTTTGGGCTTCCTTATATTATAAGATACCTCGGCTTCTTTACTCTTTTTTCACTCCAAGACCGAATTGAAGCCTCAAAATAATATTCTCTTAAACATTATTTTCTACTTTTAAGACAATAACCTCGACCTTCAAACTTCAAACATTTCACAATCCCGAAAAGTTATGAAGCATACATAACATCCCGACCGACCGGACAAATTAAACAGAAATCCCGTAATGACCTATAAGTTACTTTTGGTTGGTAAAATTTCTTTTTCAATTTACTACTACTACAAAGTTTAAAAAGTTATTATTTATAAACTATATCCAGGAAGAGAGAAACACTGAGAAGAATATCGTCTTACATCGCATATATCAGGTGTACAACTTTGCTTCCGCCGTTTTCCGATAGATGGCTGTACCGGCTGAGGCTGTTTGAAATACATAGATGATAATGCCTTTAAAGTGAGTGTGGACAGTGCCTAACGAATTGTCATCGCCGTTTCAGTGACGGTTGTGCTTGTTTTCGTATTATTCACGCTCGAGAATGTCCGTTTATGTGCCTAATTCTCTCCATTTGCGGGAAGTTTTACTTTTCTGTTACAATTCGAAAAAAAAATGCAGCTGAAGCGCATCGAATGCTTTCAGAAACTTACGGTGATGCTGCTCTGAGTGAAAGAACGTGTCGGAAGTGGTTTAAACGTTTTAAAAATGGTGATTTCGATGTCGAAGACAAACATGGTGGTGCAAGAGAAAAAACCTTCAAAGATGAACAATTAGAAGCATTGCTTGATGAAGATTCGTGCCAAACTCAAGAACAACTTGCCGAATCGTTGGTAGTGAGTCAGCAAGTCATTTCAAAACGTCTCAAGGCCCTGGGCATGATTCAGAAAGAAGGAAACTGGGTGCAGTACGAGTTGAAACAGAGGGACATCTAGCAAAAGTTGTTAAAAAAGTACCTGAAAACGTTGAAATGTGAAGTCTTGCCTCACCCGCCGTATTCCCCAGATGTCGCCCCTTCTAACTTTCACCTATTCCGTTCGATGGCACACGGTCTGGCAAATCAACATTTTCAATCCTTCGAAGAATTGGAAAAAATGGATTGCTTCATGGATAGCGTCAAAAGAGGACTCCTTTTTTCGAGCCGGGATCCGAAAATTGCCGGAAAGATGGGAGAAAGTTGTCGCTAGCGAAGGGCAACACTTTGAATAATATATCTGTAAGCTCTTTTTCGCAATAAGGCTTTTAATTTTCGAAAAAAAAAACGGCGGAAGCAAAGTTGTACTCCTGATAATAAAACAACTTTTTATAATTAGTATAACTGTAGAAGTAAATATTTTAGGAATCCGCGCGGTTTTTTTTATTATATTTTTGCACTTTCCATGGTTTTTTGTCGAAAATTTTCGTCTAGATTTTAGCCTTTGGAAATGGTTTTTCGATTATATTGTTTTGCGTGCCGACTTGTAACAAGTTTATATAAATTAGGCTATATACTCCCAAGGTGGGAATTCAATAGTTGCTTCTAACTGAGGATACTCACTAGACGTGAACGGAGAAAGGTTTAGTAGGAGAGGAGAATGTCATCTCAATCTCTACTGAGCGGTCCAAAAGGGGCTACGGAGTAGAGAGGGAGTCATACTTCAGGATCATGACGTCTCTCTCTTTCTACCATGTACCAAAGTTAGCTAGCATCCTTCAAGCGAAAGCAATAGTTTTTCGATTCCGTTTGCTATTTCATATTTCATAAGACATACGAGGAGTGTCAATTAAGCAATGAGACTGATTCCATAATCACCGTATATTTCAAAATTATTCTACAACTCTGCCATTCCTTTCAAAGTAGTCCTCTTGGGCAGCTATACAACGATTCCAGCGCGTTTTCCATGTTTCGTGATATTTCTGGAACGCTTTGACTGTGATGCTCGCGCGTACCCTCGTCACGGCCTCCTGGATGTCCTCAATCAACTCAAAATGGGTTCCTTTGACCACCGATTTTTTTCTAGGGAACAAAAAAAGTCACAGGGAAATCGGACAAATAAGGCGTTCCCTTTAGGGGCCAAATACTGAGACACGTTGAGGGCGGTGTGGCACTGCGCATTGTCGTGATGAAGGTACCAGCTATGAGCGATTGTCTGGACGCACCCTGTTGACTCATTTTTGCAATTTTTCGAGTGCTTGGCGATAGTAGACTTGATTTACAGTTTGCGCCGGTGGAAGAAATTCTTTGTGGACGATTCCACGACACGTCGAGTTGTCTAACTCTCAGCACCTCGTCTCCATGCTTTCATGCCCCTCCTTAAACACTTTATGCCCTCGGAACACTTGGGCACGACTAAGAGCACTATCACCAGTTACTACAACAAACATGACAGATATTAGTGGTTTCATTGAGAACACCAAATTGTTTGAACACAACGATGAAAGAGGAGATCAATAATATAAAGGACTTACTATAGTGAGATAGAATGGTGCATCTAGAGCTAATTGAGCTCGTTAGGCTATATTCTTACCTGACTGTCTACCATGTGTGAACGCTTTCATTATATACCCCTTTATTCTTTAAAATTATCTTAACTTTCCAGTTCAATGAGTTTTATATTTTGCTTGGACGCGTCTCATCCAAGGTTGAGGGCTTGAAGTGTATTGAATATATTCGCGACTCGATGGCTTATATAACAGTATTAAAATTTATTAGAAAGCTTTTCTACCACGGCTATATTTTTCGAAGTATAAACCGTTGGATCGGCAAACAGTACTGAGCCTGTATAGCCTTACGCGCTCCTTGTTGCCGTTTATATTTTAATGAGTTTAGTTAGGCCAATAGACCCATTGTGATACCTCTGAGGCTCCTATCGTCATCTTTTCAAATTGTCGCACCTTTTCGTGTGCCTCATAAAGGCAATGAGATTTCCAATATTCGCTGAGCTCAGCGGAACAGTCGATGAAGTGTTTCCCAAGGAACTTGTGTCGCGCAGATGTCAAGGCTGGACAGTGGCAGAGCTAGTGCTCGATGGTCTCTTCCTCTTCTTTGTCCCTACAACTGCGTCAAAAAGCCAACCTTTTCCCGTGAAGCCCCATTAAACAGTGTCTAGTTATTATGCCAGTAGTTATGTTAATGGAGAGCCGGTCTATGTTTCGTAAGATGTTTTGATTTTTTCGCGTCCAACCTTGGCTATAGATGTCTGGACACGTTGCACGTGATCTCGTTCAACCATATTGAGTTAGCTTCCCTGGTAAAGGCCAGCTTAAGCATGTACTTTGCCGTAGACAGAGGTAAACCGCAATCATGTGCATGCTTCATCGTAGAGAGAACGGTTTCTTTCCTTGCTAATTCGTCCGCCCTGTAATTGCCTGGGATGTCCCTGTGCACAGGTACCTAGTACATGAAGTACTTCGTTGAGAGTTTGTTAAGAAAGTTCCTACAATTTATGGCCACTTTTGACTCGATACTATTACAGTGAAGAGATCTGATTGCAGCCTGACTGTCGGAAAAAATTGTAACCGATTGTCCTTTTGCCGTATATTTGTGCAACCACTCCGCGGCCTCCGTTAATGCAAAGAACTCCGCCTGGAAAACGCTGTAGTAGTCCGGTATCTTCATGTTCATGCTTAATGAAAGCATGGGAGAAAAAATTCCGCATTCAACTTTCCCATTCAGCCTCGAGCCATTTGTAAAGATGGCTGCGCCTCCTTGGTCGTGGGTGTTGATGTTTTCCCACTCGCATCTGTTTGGGATTCTCGTGGAGAATAGATTATCAAAGCATACACTGCTGATGATGTAGTCCAGCTCCTTCGGTACGTCTGTAAGAGCTAATATTTTTGTAGGTCTTATTCTGCAAATCTTCCAAGGTTGAGTTGCATTCAATCGTATTACGTTGCAACCCTTTTGTACCCTACTTGTGGACCTATATGGGGACCAGGGGAAGGAAGTTGAGATGAGAAATGCTGTGCATTCGAGAGAGTTAATGGCAATACCACCGTTATCAGGTTTAAGCCCATCATTGAACCCTCTCTAATTTGCTCCCGAAGGTGATTTTATCGAGTGATGGTCACTAAACGTTGACTCCGTAGAATAGGATTGGTCTAACTACCGATGTTTATTAGACTCCATCTTTTTGCTATCGCCGTGATGCAGGCGTTAGGGAGCAGTTATAGCTTTCCTAGATCTTTCTGCCGTGTTCCGATTCGACATTAGTTTGCTATCTAAAAGTATTCCGAGATATTTCACTTCGGTAGAGAGAATGCTCTCCACGCCTTTTAGTTTAGGTAATTTAAATGTATGCGGTTTCTACCTCCAGGTAAATAACACCATCTCGGGCTTAGTAAAAATGAATCAAAATAGAAATTACGCCCAAATTGCTTATTAAACGAAATGCGAATTCACAAAGTTTGCCTATAAAATTTATGAAGCTTTTTATTTGCTCTCAGATTCATACAAATTTATAACGAATATTATTTAAATAAAGACATTTTTTATATTACATTTGCATTGGCCTCTTGCCAGACTGCTAAACGACATATGCATACATATAAATAAATACAAATACAAATATGTGTTTATTAAGAAGATAATTTGCACATTTGTCTGGCCCACATACTAACTCGTGCATGTGTGTGTGTATATGTAGATGTTAAGTGCAGCAATGCAGCTGCATGTAAATGTTCATGTAATACAATTCACATACATATATATAAATATAAATATATATGTGTAACAACTTTTAACGCCCATTCCGAGTTTAACGTATTCATTTGCATGCTCTTATTACTTTAAAAATAACCGTAAACAAAATGAAATTTAAATTTAAAAGTAAATGCTGACAGACGCTTTCTTATTCATTTATATAACAGCAATATGATGTGTGTTCAAAAAGTATCGCGAATTTTGAATTCTCGCGGGTTACGTACAATCGAATTTCGATTTTTTTGTGGCGTTATGTTGGTACTCATGTCTGTCACTTATGCCGACAAGTTCGGCCATTTTGAATGTTCACTTAATTGTTGACAGCTGTTTTGTTTGTACGTGTTTTGGATCTGGTCTTCGATTTTTACCTATTCAAAAAAATTTATCAAAGAACCTGTATCAAATTTTGGGTGAAAAACGAAATTAAGTACGCGGATGCATTCCGAATGTTGACTGTGGCATACGGAGAAGCTACTTTGGACCGAAGCAACGTTTATCGGTGGTACAAAATTCGCGATATTTTTTGAACACACCTCGTATATAGTATTGGAGATTTTAATGACAAATTTGAGCTTTTAATTCAAATATAATTGAGCCCAATTAATACGTTAATATGAACTTAATGTGATTATAAATATACAGTATTTAAGTGAGTGCGACGGTCCCAAATGGATTTTTATATAAAAAACAGAGATCGGAAATACTTGATCTAGTAAAAACTAATCCATATTGTAGGCTTCATTTACCATAGTTAGAAGTATCCGGTTTATGCCCGGACAATCGATTTTCACAGGTTTATCTTGAGATCAATACTTCAGCAATCAAATCATTCGCAATAGACAGGAGCAGTTGGTAATCACTTGGTGCGAGGTCTGTACTGCAAGATGGAGGCATAAGAATTTATTTACCAATATCACAGCGCTTCCGACGAGTCCCTATCGATATGTGTGGTCTGGCGAATTAAGAGTTTGGTCGTAGGAAAGTAGCTTATACTGAATGATTCCTTGCCACCACCTTCCCTGCGGTTTATCGTGCGCTTGCAGACCGTACGTGCCGGCTCGGTCAATACAATAGCACTTATAGAACGCGATATACAGTTTACTAAAGCCTTCTATAGCAAATTAAGCGTCTCAGGCTTATCTGCGCAGACAATTTACTTAATATAACCTCCAGTGGTGTTGAATCGTACGATCTTGGAGGCCAAGCCGCAGGCCATGACGCGAGATAATGCGCTCACAAAAAAAAAATACCTTCACTCAATCGACTGTTTCATTGGCTGTGTGGCATGTACGCCGTTTTGTTGGATCCAAAGGTCACCCACTTCAATATTCTCCAAATTCAGGTATGGAAAAGTATTTAAACGTGGCTCTAAAGAGTACTTCTTGGTCTGCAACATTATGGCTGGTTTCATTTTCGAAGAAATATGGACCAATGATTCCCTATTCCCATAGAAAATACCAAAACCAATTAGTGACTTCTTCAGGATGTAACGACGTCTCAACAATGATATTGTTTATTACCATACCCACGCAACCAAAAGTGAGCTAATAACTGAACCAAATTTTCTGTTTAAAATCTTGTCTTGGATACATTCACTTGAACGAGTTGGATTTTGTATACGCGCAAGCCAAGATACATTCGAAAAATCTTCGCCAAAGTGAATGGGCGCACCTTGAATTGTATGATGGATGGATTCATTCGAGTCTTCTTCGATACTCACAGAAGCTGAGCTGAAACAACTCAGGTTCGTATTGTACAGCATCTCTAAGGAAGTGGATTATTTGCTGTTGTAAAAACGATCCACGTTTTCTTGAATTACCAACTCTGCTGGGCCTTATGCGACGCACGAAGCGAACCATTATTTAGGTAATCAATTTGCATGACTTTGAAATAAAGGCTCCTCGTAAAAAAAAACCATCAGCTGTTCGGAGGCGGCTTAGTATAAACTGTGGGTCCCTCCAGTTGTTGGAAAAACGTCAAGATGCAAAGCCACAAATTGGAGGAGGAGCTCGGCGGAAAATCGCTGCAGCGGTTACAAAGCGGCAACTATATATATATATAAATATCACAAAGATTAACTCCGAGAAAAGTATTGCCTCATTGAAAACCGCAGGTCCAAAAAAACACCTTCATTTTTTCAAAGAATTTATTTAATTGTTAAAAAAAAAATCATAACTAATGCTATTAAGGCCTGCTCAATATCAGGTCTTTATAATTTGTTTACCAAAAGTTTCAAAAGAGCTTTCAAAAGAGCTTTCAAGATAGCTTACTGAATAGCCAGCTCTCTTATGCAAGATTTTTATACTTCGAAAGACTGTGTGGGGGTTAAAAAATATGCCCAGGATTGTGCTGTAAATTGTTTTTGGTTTTCGTAATTCAACACAATTCAGACGGAGGGTAATTGGATATAGTATGGGTCCAACTTGAATATTACTGCTGTATAACGAAGTTGCCTTAACTGAACGACACTTGGCTTTTATATATCAGATATGTGTACTTTGATGTTTATACTCTTAGTTATAGTTGTTGTTTTTTTTTCAATTTAGTTATTAAGATATTAGCTACATATTGTATTCAAGTCCATATTGATATCAACTCAAAAGCTTAAAAGCTTACTCTACTAACCTCAATATTTTCAAAAATACTTAATGATTTCTCATCCAATGATACATTTCTGTCTGCATGTATATACATATATAATTTTAGGTTCGGGCATACCTGAAATGAAAACCATACTGCGTGGCGTTGCGCTGAAAGAGTATCTCACATTCAAGACATTGGTGGCCAAGGTTGTTGGTTTAACGGCAACTTTGGGCAGTGGTATGCCATTAGGAAAGGAAGTAAGTATCAAAATTGTTACAACTCTAAGGAGATCGCAAACTGTGTTCGAGCTTTGTCAACTACATGACATATTTACGTTCCGCTCTGTATGTATGTGTGTAGTTGTTAGCCAAAAACACGGATACGAACAAAAATAAAAAATAAGATAACAAACATAATAATAATGCTAAACACCAACAAACATAATTATTTATAACCTGAAATTCCAGCTAATCATTTCTCTTTTGTTGTATTTTTCTTCTATCGCTTGTTTGTTGTTGTCACCGCTCGCTCACTCGGTCGCTCACTCCCTCATTCGCTCACTCGTAGGGTCCTTTCTGTCATATAGCAAGTATTGTAGCACAATTATTAAGTAAACTCGTCACATCATTCCAAGGCATCTATGAGAATGAGTCGCGCAATTCGGAAATGTTGGCCGCTGCGTGCGCAGTGGGCGTGGGTTCGTGTTTTGCGGCGCCCGTTGGTGGTAAGTCAATTATGCATATTACAAGAGTCTCTCTCTTACTTTTTGTATCCGACTTTTTTCTAAACTTATTTTTTCTTTATATATCCCCATCTTAGGCGTGCTCTTCAGCATCGAAGTTACGACCACATATTTCGCTGTTCGTAATTACTGGCGCGGCTTCTTTGCCGCTGTTTGTGGTGCGACAGTGTTTCGCTTGTTGGCTGTTTGGTTTCACAATGCGGACACAGTGCGTGCGATATTCCTTACAAACTTCACCACCGAGTTCCCTTTCGATCCACAGGAGTTGTTCGTGTTTGCACTGATGGGGTGAGTTTGAAAAAAACTTAGCTTAACTTAAAGTCAATTGTAGTTTAAATTTGGATAAATGGAAATCACGAAAGACAGATAGAAGAGTAAAAGGATCGCGCTGGTGCAACATATTTGGTCAAGTAAAAAGACATCCATTATTTTTGCAATGGAGGACTTTAATGATTTGTATTTTGCGTTCCATAACTGCAATGGGATAACGCTAGATGGCGCTCAAAAACTCAGGACTGAATTTACATCTACGAATCGCTACTGAATCATAACAAAATCAGCGCATTTCTGAAGAGGACGGTGACTGGTAATAAAAAGTATATCACTTCAAATAACGTCAATTGAAAACGGTCATAGCTGAAGTACGGTGAGCCGGCACAAACGGTCGCCAAGCCAGGATCGATGACCAGGAAGCTGTTATTGTATGTTTGGTGGGATTGGCAAGAAATCATCTACTAAAAGCAGTTCCCAGAAATCAAAACACAGATTTCGGATTTTTAAATGGACCATCTAAAGGAAGCAATTGCGCATAAGTGTCAAGCTTTGGCCTACATGAGGGGAATTATGTTTCTTCGGAACAACGGCAGACCACTCACCTCGATAATGTCACGCCAGACTCTCCGCGAGCTTTGTTGGGAGGTTATTTTGCAACCACTTTATAGTTCTGACCTCGCACCAAGTCATTTTGAGTCCTGTTCTTGTTTATGGTAAATAATTTGGCCGATAAAGAAAGAGTTGGTCTCAAGAGAAGCCTATGAAAGTCGATTGTGCAAAGAATTCGCTTATAGAACAGGGAATTTCTAGGAATGAATATCATTATGCCCCTCTCATAGAAATCCCCTGTTCTATGAGCAAAAACTTGGTACAATCGACTTTCGCAGCTTCTCTTTAAATGGCAGAAAGTTATCGTGCTAAAAGGATATAAATCGTTAAATAAAATCCTCAAAAAAAGGGCAAAAATAATGGAAAACTTTTTATTTGACCAAATATTTTATGTTTCTCTTTTAACTCTACCCATTTTGCCAGAAATCCTGCAGCTATTGAAAAGATATATAAATATTGATACCATACGCTTCTTTAAAGCCGGGGTTATGTGACCAGGCGAGGTTCTATGGGCTGTGCGTAGCATTGAGGACTCACCTTATAAAAAAAACAGTACTGAAAGACAACAAAATGCCTTGTATGTGACAACATCCCTTTGTTGACGGCCGCTGTAAGATAAAAGGCTGGCTGACGTAGAATCAACACCTGCTACAAAATATCTGGTCAATTTACCTGGTCGAAAGCAAACACTAACAAAGAACAATCAAAACATTGGTCAGGACCTCATAAGCTATGTTGAAAGACAATTGGCCCAGTTTATGGGATCACCTTTTTATGGATTGGGCTAAATAAGTGTTCCCTAGATAAGTTCTGTGTACCCTGAGCATTACTCACTAGATTACCTCTTTGAGCCCTACATAAACATGCTGCAGTTTTAGGATAGCTTGTACTGGCTGCCGATCTATTGGATCGATTACACTTTTGGACTGAGTAACACCCTTTGTGATACCACAAAATCTTGCCGAATCTTCAATGAACCTCATTAGATACACGATTTTGGGTAGACCATCCAGCAGCAGTAGGTTTGCAAAATTCTAAATCAGTACAGTCGCAAGATGCTAAGTAGTTTATCAAGAGACCCTTACCACATTACGCCAACTGTCGCAGTCTATTAGTTTCCTATTCTATTATATACTCGTATTTACGTGGTTTCAAAGTTTTCAATTCCACAATTCGTTTTTAACTTTCAGCGTTGTATCCGGTGTTGGCGGAGCCGCCTATGTTTGGGTTCATCGGCGCTATGTGCTCTTCATGCGTTCGAATAAGAAGATGAATAAATTTCTACAAAAAAAGTACGTATTCAATATTCAAGCTTTAACCTTAACTGAACGTTCAACTACTTAACGGGATTTTGTCATTTACAGTCGGTTTCTATATCCGGGCTTCCTGGCGTTACTTGTCTCTACGCTCTCATTTCCACTGGGCACCGGTCAATTCATCGCCGGCGAATTGAGCACACACGAACAAGTGACGCAGCTCTTCAGCAATTTCACTTGGTCACGCGACGATCTCACCGTGGAACAGGCAGCCATAGTTACGCATTGGGTCACTGGTTACACCAACATTTTCATCAATCTCTCCATTTACATTGTGTTCACCGTAAGTAGTGCTTGAGTTGAGCTACTTTTGTGTATTTTCTAACTTTTTTTTTAATTTTTATGTTTTATTTTTTCTTTTTGACAAAGTTTTTCATCTCAATTGTCGCCTCCACAATACCGGTACCATCGGGTATATTCATACCTGTCTTTAAGATAGGCGCCAGTTTGGGTCGTCTCATTGGTGAGAGTATGCACTTGTGGTTTCCGAACGGTGTGCGCTACGGCGGTCGCTTATCGCCCATCATACCCGGCGGTTATGCGGTTGTGGGTGCGGCGGCATTTTCCGGCGCTGTGACGCATACCGTTTCGGTAGCGGTAATCATCTTCGAGATGACCGGCCAGATAACGCACGTTGTACCGGTGATGATCGCAGTGTTAATAGCGAACGCCATTGCAGCCCTTCTACAACCGTCCATGTACGACAGTATTATATTGATAAAGAAACTGCCGTATCTGCCCGATTTGCTGCCATCCAGTTCGGCGATGTACAGCATCTATGTGGAGGATTTTATGGTACGAGATGTGAAATATATTTGGCATGGCATTTCGTATCAAAAACTCAAGGAGGTGCTGAAGGCGAACAAAACGCTTCGATCTCTACCGCTGGTCGATAGTCACGAGAATATGATACTGCTCGGCTCAGTACAGCGTTATGAATTGATTAAAATGATTGAGAAACATATTGGACGGGAGAAACGTATGGAGGTGGCACAAAAATGGCAAAAGGAAGCCGAGGAACGGTAAGTACATTAGAATATACATACATAATATCTACCTAAACTGTAACATCAATAATGTCCCTTCCCTTTTTGACATCCCTCAGCGCACGCGAAGAGGAGAAGAAAAAACAGGAAGCCGAATTAAGAATACGACGACCATCACGTTTCGAAGTGCTACCCGCACCTGATATACTCAGTTTACGTCAAATTGCCAACGATGAAATGTTGCCGCCAAAACAGCGACAAGAATCACTCAACAATAATGTGGGACCACGCAAATCCATTTTGAAAAAGACAAATTCCTTTAATTTAAAAACATTCGCAACTACCTCACCGCACAGTCCCAACATTACCCCATACACCACCATTACCGGTACGGAGCATCGCATTCGTTCCGCCTTCGAAGCGATCTTTCGCAAATCGAATACACTGCAAGATGTCCAACCGGATCCGGATGCTGGCAGTATAACACCGGCTGTGAGTGCCAATGATGTGCCACAGGTGCAACGTGCGCCCAGCATTTCGAAGAAAGTTCAATTGGTATGTAGATTTTGTTATTGTTTTATATATGTATATGTATACAGATATATAAATAGTATATATATATGTAAACATTCATACATACATATGTGCATGTATATATATACATATATACAAAAGTATATACATATATATATATGTAGATATATTTATCCAGAGCAAGCGATTTGTGTTGTGTTTGTTGCTTTGTTTTTGTGTTTATAATTTTTTGTTTTCGTGTTTTTTTTTCTATGAGCATAATTTCTGTATTTTTTATTGTGCGTTGTTACTGCTGTTGCTTTGTTCAAAAATTATCTATGCCGCTATTCTGACAATGCTAACAAAATGATATGATACCGTAACGCCTAAAACTATGCTTCGAGAACTTGTTTGCGTTTAGTGTTCAATAATAACCACAAAAGCATAGATCGAGCATACTTTTAGGCGCTGCTATTCTAATAAAAGTGTATGCATATCCCTCTCCCGATTGGGTGTTACGGCTGGGCGGTACGTAAAATGGTTAGTTGGGATATACATACGTGAAGCACCGAATTTTATGAGCATTGTCGGAAGCGATTTTTTTTATTTTACAAAATTGATTGAATTTTTAAATTTTTCTGCTTTGCTTTAAATTGTGTTCTGTTTCGTGACAAATTAACTACAATTTTTTACGTGTTTGTATTTCATTTCTTCGCACAAGCAAGCACAAAATTCTGCGGAGTCTACGAACCTCGAACATAAGGTAAAACTGTGTATGCCACCACATAATTCCAAGTTTTTTTTTTTACAAATTTGAGACTTTATTATGTTAAACTAGTTCAAGGACTTTTATTTTGCATTTGCTCTATCTTTGTATACTTAAAAACCGCTCTCATAGAAATCCTTGAACCTTTTGGCAAAACTTTGGATTTCACAGGCTTCTCTTGAGGCCAATTTTTCATCTGACAAATCATTCGCCATAGACAGGCACAGATTGTAATCACTTGTTGTGAGATCCAGACTATAAACTGGATGCATAAAAAGCTTCCAATCAAGCTCATGGAGCTCCTGGCGAGTCACAATGGATGTATATGGACGTCTGACGTTGTTCTAATGAAACACACATTCCTCTCCTGCTCGCCAAAGCTGAGCGCTTCTGGTTGCTTGCATCCTTCCGATGGCTCAATTACTGATATTACAGATCCGCACTATGAATTTGGCTGTAGAGGAGCACTTCATGATGTATGATTCCTTGACAATCCCACCGACTACACAACAAACCCTTTCTGGCCCCATTCATGTGGCACCCATACATACAGCTTTTATGAGTATCAGAGCTTTTTCAAGTGGTTCATAACCATTTTTGATGCTTCGTTTAGCTCCTGGACAATGAAAAAAGTACTCGCATCATGGTCCGACTCGACGATTTTCATTATTTTATCGACACTTTCGATTATTGATCTTCCACAGCATGAAGCATCTTTTACACCAAAATTGTCGGTAGGAAATTGAGAAACCAAAATTGTCTCACAAACATAGAGCAAGTTTGACTTTCGCTCAAGCACTACTGAGTTTAGTTTTCAACACTTCACACTTTATATTTTTTAGTACAAAATATCATATTTCTAAGGCCATCAAGCGTTATCCAAACGCGAGATTCAGATCACTAAAGCCATCTATTCCAGGGCAATATTTTTCAAGGTTCACAGTTGTCAAGGGGTATGGGAGTAGTCTTTCTCGAAGCAATGAAAAACTGTTTGTTAATTTATACTGAAAATTAATTTATTGATTATTTTTTCATATACATATTTATATTAAAAAAAATATGTTTTCAAAAAAATAATTACATAAATACAACAGTCTATATGTATGTATATATAATTTATTATTTAATTTCCTATTTGCCTACAAGCAAACGCCACCAAGTACGCCGGATAGTATAAAAAGCAATAAATTTGTAAGTAAATATGTACATATGTTTGTATATATAATTTGAATTTAATGATAATTTCTCTTTTGCAACTCAAAAAGTCCCAACTAGCGCCCAATTCCCCGGGTCCTTCAAAAAAGTTCAATAGAAATAATCGAGTTGTGAGTATAAATTAATTATTTTTGAGCAACTCAGGCCTGCGTAGCTATCGGCTTAATTATAGGGTGTTTTTTTCTAGACATGTGGTTTTGAAGTGGAAATAAAACGCAACAAATTTTTGCACATAAATTTTGAAAAATGAATTCGAGCAGGTGGCTGAAGTCGCAGCAAGTGACTGAAGTCGAATAAATTCCAGCTGAGAGTCATTATTTAGAGCGATTGGCGCCGAATATTCTCGATTCGGGCTTATCTGCGTAGACTAGGGACTTCATCTAATCAAACACAAAATATTTCAGCAGTCTTAAATCGTCCGAACTTGGACGCCTGATAATGCGCTCACGAAAAGCTCCTTCAATAAATTAATTTTTTTGTTGGCTGTACAATATGTAGCGCCATTTTGCTGGAACCAAGGTTCTTCCGCATCAACAAGCTCCAATTCATGAACGAAGAAGTCGTTAATCCTAGAGCCCTCCCCCTCCCCTCTTGACTGTGACATTATGGCCAGCTTCAGTTTTGAAAGTGGATAAGCACAGCTCCAATATAAGCGGGATGGCGGATGGACACATTCGAGTCTTATACGATTATCAGCTCCACAGTAGCTATAGCATCTTCGGTGGTATTGTACTGCATCTCTGAGGATTCAGTTTATCCATTAGAGTGAATTTAGTACAAAACCGTTCGAATTACCGAATCGCCGCTCGGCGATTATGTCGACCGTGTGTTGAAATGTTTGCGCGATTTTTAAAAGTTGTACCAAAGTGAAAATGTTCAACATGAAATGACCAACCAAACTAAGTATAAATCAAGGTTCAGCCGTCAAAAAGATCAAATCCGATAAAAGTATTGTTCGATTGAAAACCACATGTCTAAAAAGACACAAAATTGGAAAAACTTCTAAAGTTTAAAATAAAATTTACCGTAATTTCAAATTTGTTTAATAAAAATTCCAGTTTAAAATTAATCAAATTGTAAAAATAATTGCTGCAAAGTTATAAAGTTTTTTGTATTGAGATTTTCATTATTTTATATTACTCAAAATAATTAAAAATAAAAAGTACCAGCGCCCACGAAGTCTAAGCTCATCGCCTGTCCATGCTAAAGTCAAGACAAAATTAGCCAACACCAGATGGGATATGTTGCAATCGCCACCGAAAAAGGGTATTCTGCGAAAATCTCACTCAACCACAGATTGCACCAATACCAAGGCGAACGCAATCAAATGGAACACTTTGAACAGTGCCAATAACACAGCGTTGGACTCGAAGGAGCCGAAAGTAAAGAAAAATTGTTCCAATCCTTCAACTCATTGCTGTGTAGACGTGGCTAAGCTTTAAAGTGATTTCTAATGATGAAAAAGAAGGCACTGAAGATTAAGTAAGCTAGATTTTTAGGCCAAACAATTGCCAGCAACATTTGCTAACCTATAAATAGTAATAAATTTTTCTTTTTTATATTACATTTTTGATATATGTTTGTATGTTTGTTTCCACCCATCTCAGAAACTCCGCGGCATATTTTCTGAAAATTTATCAGTTTATTTCTATGCTTCATGAAAAAATATCTACAAGAAAATTTGTTTCGGCACCATGTCTTGACCTATTAAAAAAAATAATGTTGTTTTTGTTGTAACCGTAAAACATTCCCTGAACTGGTTTCCGTGGAATATTTGTGGGAGTGACAGTACTTGGTCGGATAATTTATCCGTAGTCGTTCCGTTATAAAGAACTAACTGTCTCGGGAACTATTCGATTTTAGTCGCCTCCTACGATGGGCAAGCCTTACCGCACGTAAATTTTTGAGCCCCTAAGGCAAATGAGAATCGAAAAAATATATGTATATGGTTGAAATATGACTCATAGGTAGCTTTTTACTTATAAAGCGTGATCCATTTCGAAGTGACCAACTTTTTTTAAAGAAAAAACACAGAAAATTTAAATTTCTTCCGTTGAGTCCAAATTTCGATGACTTGTTCGAGCATTTCGACTGATAACTGGCGAATGACAAGCTTATCTACGATCACGGTATAAAACACAGCCTTGAAGCCAATAGACCGACTCAAAACGTGAAATTATCTGCACCGAAATGTTTTCAATAAATCCATTGTTTGCTACGATGTGTGGGACGAGGCGCTATATTTTTGAAACCAAATGTCACCGAGATCACCATTTCAAGTATCAAATAATCGGTTATCATGGTGCGATAACGGTCGCCATTGATAGTTACGTTCTTACCGGCATCATTTTTGTAGATATATGAGCCGCTGATTACACCGGCCCACAAACCATACAAACCCAACTATCGACCAACCAACCATAAGTCTGGATGAAATGGCAGCTCTTGAACCTCAGCAGGTTAATCAGCGTCCCACATGCGGCAATTTTGCTTGTTTACATACTTATTGAGTCAAAAATGTGCCTGATTATTGAACAAAATTTGCCTTGAAAACGTGGGATCTTCGAAGCGATACAACTTGGAGAGCTCGAGCGGCTTCACTTCTTGCACAAACTATATTTTGTATTTGCTTTCATTTTAAGATCTCGACGTTAAATAAGCCAAATCATTCGATACGTCCGTCCAAGTTGTTGCAAACGGCTGGGTCTCAAGATGGGTGATGATGTTGCGAAAAGTACGCTCAGCAGGCCGATTATGTTAACCATAAATCAGACCATCAGACGTAAGTCTCTCCATGCCAAAATGCCAAATATAATAAACAAAAATAACAAATAATATGATTTGAATGTATAGCCGCTAAGTTGGCTAGCTTGAGGTGGTACGAATGAAGGACAACACAATGTTTTTTGTTTTTTACCTCCATGCCACTGTTGACAGTCATAGCTTTGAAATCGTTGCTAACTTCGTCTGCCTTGGAAACAGTATTAACACGAATAACATTCATTGACAGTCTGGTCAGCCAGAGCGGAATCACTATTGGCAAAAGGCGCTACTATGAACAGGTGAAAGTAAAGATCTGTCCCTCCCTCTTCGAACCAAAATCAAACTCCACAAGTCCCTCATTATTCTCGTCCTGCAACATGGTGCGGGGCCATGAACGATGAAAACATCTGATGAGTCGTCGATAGAGTTTTCGAGAGAAAGGTTTTGCATAAGATTTATGTTCGATGGGCACAGTGAATACCGCAGATGATAAAACGATGAGCTGTACGAGATATAAGATGACATTGACATAGTTCAGCGAATCAAGAGACAGCGTTTACGCTAGCTAGGTTAGGTCAGGTCGCTCGAATGGGTGAAAAAACTTCAGCTTTGAAAGTTTTCGGCGGAAACAGAGCAAGAGGTTGACCCCCACTCCATTGAAAAGGAAAGAAGGAATGAAGCGCTATAATCTATAATCGCATAAGCGTTGTCGGCGACGGTAAAGAAAAAAATTTATTTTCAAAATTAAACCAATTATTCAGTTATTTTCCTTAGTCAGAACCAAGTCCAGTGTGGACCAGAAAAAGATGAAAGGAAAAAGACTTATGTGGATCAGGGTATACGTTAAGAACTCGTGTAATACTGTAATTTTTTATCTTTTTTTGTCTGTTCTCCAGAGCGTTTTTTCCAATTCTGTAAAATGCAATGTTGCCATTTTTCATCTTTAAAAGTGCTTACTGCGCTTTTCGGGGAAAAAATCTTTACATTTTATACATATTTATGAGAAGCAGTGTGTTTATATTGTAGATTTCTTGTACATACGAGTATATATGTAAGTTAATTTTTGCATTTATTCTTATTATTCTCGTTGGTATTTATGCATTATATTTATGTATGTCCGTTGGTTGTCAATTTATTTTATTTATGTACAATTGTTTATTTAACATGCTATATACTTATTGTATTATTTGATATATTATATAAAAATTCAAACAAATTTGTTTGAAAACAAATTTTTTTTCAATGTTTTTTTACTAAATAATTTTTTTTATTATTTTTATATATTTTTTTTATATATATTTTTTTTAATAATTAATATTTGCATACAGTTAGTTATTGATGAGTGCATAAGTTCGTGCCCGATTTCAAGTGCATGAAGATAGCGCTTTTATTAATCAATTATGTATTCGCCATCATGTTCGGCAATCCACTCCCAACGTTCAATCAATTCACGGATGCCTGATTCATAGAAATCGCGCGGTTTCTCGTTGAAAAAGGTGTCAAGGTGATTTTTGACGTCTTCCACATTTTTAAATTTTTTTCCATTCAAATTGTTCTGCAGCGATCGAAACAAATGATAATCAGAAGGTGCAATGTCGGGTGAATATGGGGGATGCGGCATGATTTCCCAATTCATCTCCTTCAGTTTGACCAGGGTCGGTTCTGCAACATGTGGCCTGGCGTTGTCATGATGGAAAAGAACTCCTTTGCGATTGGCCAAAATCGGGCGTTTTTCATCAATTGCTTTCTTCGCAGTTGATTTGTTGACGTGCAATTCACTGGCAACCTCTTCCGTCGAAATACGTGAGTTATTCGCAACTAAAGTCCTTAGAACATCGTCATCAAGCTCAGAAGGCCGTCCATTGCGAGGTTGATCTTCGAGGTTAAAATCTCCAGAACGAAATTTCGCGAACCATTTCTTTACTGTGCGGAGTGCTGGAGCACGGTGCAAATAAACTTCGCGAATATCTTTAGTTGCAGCGCCTACTGTTTTTCCTTTGCGGAATTCGTATAACATAATATGACGCATATAATCTTTTCGTTGTCCATCTTCCATGCGTCTTTTCACTAAGCAACTCAAATCAAAATGAAGTTATGAAGCTTGATTTGCAGTTCGGACTGTCACCTTTCCAACGATATATAATATGTATATATATTTTTTTCACGAGCGCCACTCTCAAACGATTCGAACGGCATCCAGCGGAATCGGGCACGAACTTATGCACTCATCCAATATGTACGTATATATTTTTTACCCTCCCGTCTGCTTACTAATTTTTTTTGTGCTTCAAGTGTTGTGCTTTCGAAAATCCGCTTTCATAGATGGCTTTGCATACATATGTACAATACATATATATATATATAACTGTAACTAAATAAAATATAACTCAATTTCTTTCTTTTCTATATGCCACACCCACTACTTCGTTCCCAATAATTGCATATGCATATGTATATATGAATATATGTAAACAAAATAAAAAAATGCACAACTGTACATACAAACAATAAAAACCAGGCAATGAGTATGAAAAAGACGAAATCTGTGACTTTGGTAGGTGTTCTTCGTGAAATTCTTATTTGCATATTTTTTTTTTTATTTGCCCTAAATATGTAGTTAAATGTACAAAAAGGGTATATACATATATAAATAACCTGTAATAATTGTATCATAGTAGTGGTAAAAGTAGTTGTTAACAAAATGCAACACCAGGTGTAAAAAAAATAAATTCAAAAATAATTGTTACTACTTTTTGCAAGCACTGTAAAGAATTCTTAGCATTCACTTAAAATCATATACTTATATAGATTATTGTATATATATACGTGTATATATATATGGTTCATTGAAAAATTGTCTAACGCACACTTTGCTACACAAATATTCCACAGCCACGTGAACGTGTCATCGATATGTCGCCGGAAGACCAGAAGAAATGGGAAATGGAGGAAATGTCCCAGTCGATTGATCTGGAAAAGGCCAGCGTCAATATCGATCCATCGCCATTTCAACTCGTCGAACGAACGTCAATACTCAAAGTGCACTCGCTGTTCTCCATGGTTGGCATAAATCATGCTTATGTGACGAAAATTGGACGTCTAGTCGGTGTTGTGGGCTTAAAGGAAGTAAGTAAAAAGTAATTTTAAGGCGAAAAAAAAATTATTAGGAAAATCGTGTTCGCTTTGTATACAAATTCGTGCAGATTTTTACATTTGCTGCCATTTTTTTTACAAATTTTTATAGCTGATTTAAATTTAAAATAATAAAAAAATATAAATAACGAATGAATTTAAAGATCTGAAAAGGACATTTTTTTTATTTCCACACCTTAGCCCCCATTCCGGCCAAACCGGTCCCTTGCGAAGCAAAGAAAGTAAATAAAGGAAGAAATGCCAATACTTACTCCAAAAAGTTTCTATGTGTTGATCAATATAATATATTATATGTATATATGTATAAAATAAATATTAGGTCAAGTAAAAAGTTCGTTCGGTTTTTCATCTTACGGCGCTGAAAACGTGTGTATTCGCGCTAAAAGTTTGCTTTTGACAGTTTTTCGATTGATCGGCTCAGTACGTTGTGAGCGCTCGTCAAAGATAGACACCAGCAAAGAGAAAATTCGCTATATTTTACAATTTTTCTTCGTTCAAGGCGAAAGAGTAGCCAAAGCGGCTGAAAAAATTAATTTAGTTTATGAGCCCGATATTATAAACGAACGTGTAGTATAAAAGTGGTTTGCTGCTAGGTTCAGTTCCGGTAATTTGATATGAAAGATGCACGAACACGTCGGGTGGCCTGTCATCGAAAATTGTGATAAAATCCTGGGAATAGTGAAAACGGACCGTCACGTGAGCACTTATCTAATTGCTGAGGAACTAAAGATAAGCCAGAAAACCGTTTTGAAGCTCGATGTTTGGGTGCCACACGAACTAACGCAAGAAAACATAATGGACCGAATTTCCCGTTTCGGAAGCGGATTGTGACTGGCGATGAAAAATGGGTCACTTACGACAACATTGATCACAAACGGTCGTGGTCAAAGCTCGGGGAAGCGGCCCAGATGGTGGCCAAGACCGGATTGACGACCAGGTTTTGCTGTGTGTTTGGTGAGATTGGGAAGGAATCATCTACTACGAGGTGCTCCCCTATGGCCAAATGCTCAATTCGGCCTTCTACTGCCAACAAATGGACCGCTTGAAGGCAGCACTCATCCAGAAGAGGCCATCTTTGATCAACAGAGGCCGAGTTGTATTCTATCAGGACAACGCCAAGCCACACACGCCTTTGGTGACGCGCCAGAAGCTCCAGGAGCTCGGATGGGAGGTCCTAATGCACGCACCTTATAGTCCGGACCTGGCACCAAGTGATTACCATCTTTTCCTGTCCATGGCGAAAGCGCTTAATAGTGAGAAGTTGGCCTCAAGAGAGGTGGGTGAAAATTGGCTCTCAGAGTTTTTTGCCAATAGGGACGTAGGAAGGGTAAAATGAAGCTGGCATCTCCTTGGCAACAAGTTTACGAACAACACGGCGCATATTTGACTTGAATCGGACAAATGTACACAAAGTTATCATATTTTGAAAAATCAATAAAAAAAACCGAACTAACTTTTTACTTGAGCAATATTTCTATCGATTATATATATATAATATATCTTTAGTTGCAGCGCCTACTGTTTTTCCTTTGCGGAATTCGTATAACATAATGTGACGCATATGATCTTTTTCGTTGTCCATCTTCCATGCGTCTTTTCACTAAGCAACTCAAATCAAAATGAAGTTATTTTATGCTTGATTTACAGTTCGGACTGTCACCTTTCCAACGATATATATTATGTATATATTTCTTTCACGAGCGCCACTCTCAAGCGATTCGAACGGCATCCAGCGGAATCGGGCACGAACTTATGCACTCATCCAATATAATTATTTTTCTTTAAATTTTTGGCTTGTGATTGTAGAAACTTTTTTTTCAACTATAAACTCGAAGGTTAGATTATGCTTAAAGCTTATTTAGCAAACTTAATTACTGCAATTAGTTGAGCTTACTAAATATAATTTTCATTAAGAATCATATTGGTCCTCACACGATGATTAAATCAATGGGTTTGCAAACTTAACCTGAGCAATTCGTTCAAGTCTCTTAAGGTTGCCACTCTGGAGACCACAACGTAATTCTCTAAAATGTGTGCCACTCGCGTAGCTGTTTATTTGAATTAAACTACAATGTATATATACGTGTATGTATGTGTGTACAATACATATATCTATATATAATTTTGTAATATTTCCTCGTTCAAACGAATTACTCTTTTTCCTCCAACAGCTTCGCAAAGCGATTGAGGACATCAACAGTAATAATTTCGTAGTACAAAATCAATTAAAAGACGATATTGAAGCCGATCATTGTTCGGCTGCCGAGAAGCCATTACTAACGACAACATTAACGCCGCACGCGACCAGTGACAAAGAGGTTAATACAACGGTTACCTCGATGGATTCGGCGCTTTCGCATTCGGATAATTGCTCCGATATTGAAATGGAGCATATAAAGGGTGGCGATAGTAGTGGTGAGGAGCAGCAGCAACAACAACAACAACAGCCATATACACAAACAACGGGGACAATGACGCCAACAACAATGTCTGGCGGCACACCAACCAAATCATCGATGAATGAGCCATAGCTAGCGAGATAGAAAAAGAGAGCGATAGAGAGAGAGAGAGAGTGCAAAGAATTGCTTGCAAATAAAAGTATGTAGTTCGGAAAGAAAAGCTCGGAGAAATTAAACTGAGTTGTATTCAATTTAGTTAATAGAAATGTGAAATATGCATACATACATATGTACACTAATATTAATATGATCAGGTGAGAGTTTGCATATTTATGTAGCAAAAAAGAAAAACAAAATGTAAATTTCAGATTGAAAATTTAATATTATGTAGATACTAAAATCCTGTGTTACGAATTTTTTTATGAAAAAAAAGCCTCAATACCTCTTTTAAGCTCATACATACATATGTACATAGTATATCGATGATGATGTTTAGAAAGGCTCTTGAATAACATTTTCTTCTTCATTAAAATTATAAATGGCAAGCACTTTATAAAGATTTTGCAAAATTTTTTTTACACAAAAAAAGCTCAACTGAAGAAAATAATTTTTTTTTAATTTTTACTAATTTTCCTTTTTGCTTTCTTAAACTTTTTTTTTCTTGTAAAATTGAAAAATTGTAGTTATTTTCTAAATTGCAAAATCAGTAATGTGAGTTGTGCCGTTTTTTGATTAGCAAATAATTTAAATTTCTGTCAAATTAGCCAGTAAAATTGTAACATTTTTTAAGTTTATTAAGTTCAAAAATATAATAAGTGCTTATTTTCAAAATCGCTAAATCAATGGAAAAATGGAAAAATTGGATTTTGAAATACTTCGAGTTTATGGCTGGCTAAATCGATATTTCACAACTCGAAAATTCCCAAATGTAAAAAAAAACACTGATGAGACTGTTCAAGCGATGCTAATAACTTGAAAAACTTGAAAAAAAAATATTCTTTTTCAGTAGTTGGAGAAGTGTAAATAAATTAAGGTGCAGAAGAAAAATTGGATTTTGAAAAATTTTGAGTTGTGCCGTTTTTTGATTTAGTCTTCAATATGTATGTAAATGAGAAATTTTCTATTATATCTCAATTTTGCAAATAAAAAAATGTGATCATTTATAAGCTAAAAATTATAATTTCTGTAATTGAGTTTTCATATGTACTTACATACATATGTTTACCATAAATTTACCAGTAAAATTGTAAATTTTTAAATTCTTTAAAATGAAATTAAAAAATGGCTAAATCAATAAAGCATCAAAACTCGAAAATTCCCAAATGTTAAAGGAAAGCAAAAAAAGGAAACACAGTTGAGACCGTTAAAGCGACGCTAATAACTAGAAAACAGGCATAACGATATTTTTCCAATTAAAAAGACATCGATTGAAATTAATTTCAACGAAAATAATTTATCTTGTGCAGTTGGTTGTGTGCTGTAAACTGGTTTGTGAAAAAAAAAAAATTTGCTAAATTTTGAGTTGCGCCGTTTTTCAGTTTAGCGTGTGTTATATATGTATATGAAAACAATTCTTTGTTTTCTAGTTTTACAATTGAGTTATGAGTTGAGTAAATCAGCTAAGTAAAATTGTAAATTTTCAAAATTTTTTTCGTCACGTTAAAATTTTAATTTGTTGAGTTACGATTTTCTTGCACATTTGTCAAATAAAAGATCTTTCGTGTTTTAATTTTATGCATACAAACATATGTATATGTATGTACAAACACACGTACATATATACTTTTGTGAGTAGATTTGAAAAAATATTGCAGCAGAGGCGTCATGAAGCTGGCGAAAACGAAAAAAAGTCTTAAGTAGAGAGTTTAAAATTATACAAAAATTTGACATAATTTCATTTTTTTCATAAATATTTAGTCATATTTATTCTAATCAATTTTTTTTTGTTTTGTTATTTCTTTACTTTGTTGATTCATATTTCCTACAGTGCAGGCGAATTGTGTGTGCCATTTGTTGTTGGTATTCAATAGGTTAAACCTAAATTTGGCCACCTTGATTAAGCTAAGCTATGTATAACGAAGCAAGTGCCCAAAGTATTTACAAATACATTTTATTATATACATATATACATACATACATATATACATCAAATAAAAAATATTTATGTACGTGTGTAAGTTGTTGATATATAAACATATATGTATGTAAATATTTATATATTTTAAATTAGCCATACATACATACATATAAACATGTACATATTTGTATGTGTGCAAAAACAATAAAAATAAATAATAATCTAGTGATATTACAGACCAATTATTTGTACTCTTTAAATATACATACATATATACATACATACATACATACATATATTTAATATTGTAAATATACAAAATATGTATGTACGAGTATATACTGAAAACTGTAACCAAATGCTAGTTTATATGCTATTTTTTAAGTATTATTGTATAAAAAGTAAGAATTAAAACCTAAAAATAAAAATAGAAAAATCGAAAATAAGCAATAGAATGTAGCTTTAAGTATATAAAAACGAATACATATGTACATACATCCATGTATTGTATAAGACAAAAGTGAATAATAAAAAAAAAAAACGAAAACCAAACAAATAGAAATACTCCCTACTTCTCAGTTATTTTTTTTTTTGCAAATTCGGCGGACTTCTCAAAACTCTCACTATGCCTATGCTATATGTACGAGTATATACATATATATATCAGTATGTACAGTATAGTAGAGCGCTAGTAAATGTGGAAAAAAACAAATGTTACAGGATGCCGCTAATTCATCGAAGTCACCGCGGCCATCTAGCGGGAGGTCCAGGAAACATGCTGAATCGACGAAGGGGTATATGTGTCGGTTTAAGGGGGTAGGTGAAGAGGTGGTTAATTTCGTGCGATGCTCTCCACATGCAGGGCATACGTTGGGAATGTCGAGGTCAAGTCTAGATAGGTAGGAGTTTAACCTGCTACAATATCTAGACCTAAGTTGTGTCACACATATCACGCGGGTCTCTCGAGACAGCTCGAGCTCGTTGTCTGTAATAGATGGTGCTTTTCTTCCGTGCACGTCTTTAAAGGTGTTGACTGACTGACTCCTAGTGAATAGCGTTCAATGCTTGTTCGTACGCCGTCCTGTTCAACGGTTGTCGGATGTGTTGATGAATGGGGTCCTTCTTGTTTAGTACTTCCTTTTTGATGTGCCAGGGTAGAGGTTCAGCAAGTGCTTGGCAACGGCGTCTCTCTCTCTCTCGCTCTGTCGCTCTCTCGCTCTCTTTCTCTCTCTCTCTCTCTTTCTCTCTCTCTATCTTGCTCTCTCTCTCTTGATCTCTCTTTCTCGCTCTCTCTCTCTCGCTCTCTCTCTCTCTCTTTTTCAAGATCTCTCTTTCTCGCTCTCTCTCGTAGTAAACTTTCGAAGGACTTAACTGCATACTTTTTACATCCGTCGAACTTCTGGATGGCCTGGTAAATAAGCATAACCTAATTTAGGGACAGCACATTCCAGAGGTTTGCTTTTTAATTGAGTTTCTTCAATGCCTAGACTTAAAATCACCGATCGTCTGTACCAAAGAGATGAAAACCTGTATTTGAGCTGAGTGTTGAACTCATACAACTTTGAAATGGATTGACAAGCAAACGCATCTGCATTCAGCATCAATGAGCGCTTAATTACTAAACACACCAATGAGTTTTCATTTGCTCCGGCTGTGTTTAAGAACGAAACGGGAAACTCACCGAAAAAATCCGGTATGAAATGCAAATTTGTGTGGTAGGAAAAGTGAAATTAAGGAGAAATTGTCACATTATTCACAGATTGAGCTTCACATAAGAACATATGGAATAGCCCATTGAAAACTGACGGAATATTTCTTGGTCCGACGAAAGCAATATTATTATAGTCCTGAAATGCCATTAAGCATGACGGATCGGGTATATTGATTTGGGGTTACCTTTCATACTACTGTGTAGGTCACATATACCGTGACCGTTGACCGTGACTGCGCGACAAATAGTCCATCCGCTTAGTCCAATTTCGGCATACTCTTTCCAACATTTCGGCCGGGGTATCTCACGAATAAATGCATCAATGTTGTCCTCCAACGCCTCAGTCTGTCATGACATTAGATTTAACATAACCTCACAAAGTGCACGGCGTTAAATCGCACGATCTAGGCGGCCAATTGAGAGATCCGGAACGTGAAATGAAATGTTCACCGAACTCGCCTATCAATAAGTCCGTGGTTACGCGTGCTGTGTGGCATGTGGCACCGTCTTGTTGAAACTACATGTCCTGCAAGTCAATTAGAAAAATAAATTTTCTTTAATCTTTTTTGCCTCATCCCAGAGAAGAGCTGCCAATAAGGTGGCTCTACCAGCAAGATAACGAGGCGAAACATATTAGCTAATTAGCGGAACAGTAATTTACGGCAAATAAGGTAGCTGTGATTGGACAACGTGTGATGAGTCGCCTCAAGGAGGCGCATTAGCAACGGCGTGTAAGGCAGATGAAGGAACGATGATCTATACGAGCTGTACGGTCATATTGACATAATTCAGCGCGTCAAGAGTCAGCGGCGACGTTTGCTAGGTCATGTGAACCGGATGGATGAAGGCACTCCAGCTTTGAAAGTATTTCGATGCAGTAGCCACCGGTGGAAGCAGAGGAAGAGGAAGACCTATACTACATTGGAAGGATCAGGTGCACCTAGTTGCACTTGGTAATTCAAACTGACGCCAGATAACGAAAATATTGATTCGGCTGTAATCGCGTAAGCGATGTCAACGCCGACAAAGAAAAGAAAAGAAGATCGGACAACAACGATCTTAAATTAATTTTCATAAGAAGAAAAAATCAATTCATTATTGCTTTTACAAAGAAAACTATAAATCCGTTGGTTATCCCCGGTCAACGAATAAAATCTCTTCGCTTGCCAGCAAAACCGGCGCAACTCATGCAATTCAGCCGCGCATCGTTCGGCTCCACCTGGCTGTAACTGTCAAAAATTACCTGGAAACGCTGAATTGTGATGTCCTACTCCACTCGCCGTATTCTTCAGAGCTTGCTCCTGCCAACTACTGAATTTTTCGACGGATACAAAACATTGAGGGCGGTCCGTTGACCCTTCGGATTTTTTGAAGAAATCGAAGAATGGCTCAATGATTGAATCGATCACAGAGATATGCGAAAATTACCAGTGAATTGGAAAAAGTAATCGCTTGCGGCAGACAATACTTTGAAAGACGTAATTTTTTCTTGTTCTTTTTTCAATAAAAAACACTTTATTGAACACAAAAAGAGAAGGACCGACTAAATTTGTGCACTGTAAATGTTGATTATGCCTTTTAACCGTATGAAATGTTATATTAACTTATGTCCGAAGATGTATGTAGAGAGTAGGGAGATAGAGCCCTCAAAATTTGTACCGATCGGGTCAAAGTTACGCACTAAATTGATTTGCCATATCCATCTGTACGTTTATTTGTATGTAAATTAGTTTCTCAGTTTTTCAGATCAT